CTCGGTCGAGGTCAGATGGTGCAGAAGGTCGAGGCCCAGCCAGAACTCGCCGCCGTCCATGTGGCCGAAGCCGAGCTTGTACTCGAGCCACGTGCGGTAGAAGTCCTCGCGCGCAGGGCCCTTCCGCCGCCGCTGGAACACCGTCCAGCCGCCGCCGTCGGTGTCCTGGTCGCAGTAGACGGTCGCGACCGCGTCGGGCGCGGCGCGGAAGGGGAACACCTGCCGGACGCCCGAGGCCACGTCGCCGGCGTGCTGGAGGTCGCGGCAGTGCCTCGGCCGCCCCGCTGCTGCTCCGCGCCCGAGATCGCCCGCCGGACCTCCAGCATGGTGTCGCGAATTTCCTGCGGCGAGGGGAGCGACGGGCGCGCTGGTGCAGTCGACAGTGCAATGTGCTTACACATTATATGTATACATATATGTGTGTGTGTGTGTAAACACACAGACATATATTTATATGATGTTATATATATATATATATATATATATATATATATTATATATATATATATATATATTTATCTGTCTATTTATGTATGTGAAGTATATATAAATATACCTATATACATTCATATATATATATATATATATATAATATATATATATATATATATATATATATATATATATTATATATGCGCAGACAACTCGAATGAATTCCACACCTGCTTTAGAGACATGACCCCGCCCTCCTGCTCAGGGGCGTGGATCAAGGCCGCTGCCATGTGGTTGAGGGACGTCCCGCCCGCCTGGAGGAGCGACGCCAGGGCCAGGCAGCCTCCCGGCGCCTGCGGATCCTCGGCTCCCGCAGGTGCCGTGGTGGTCAGGAGGCACGCGACCGCAAGCACCAGCATCCTCTGCTTGTGGCTCACGGTCAGTGCTGGTGAAAGCGGGTGAGTTCCATCAGGTGTGTTTTCATTTATTACAAAAAAAAAAAAAAAAAAAAAAATCGAAAAAGAGTTCAGGAAGAAAGCCACCTATTGATTTTTATTGGAAAGACAACTGACTCTCTCTCTCTCTCTCTCTCTCTCTCTCTCTCTCTCTCTCTCTCTCTCTCTCTCTCCCCTCCCTCCCTCCCCCCTCTCTAAAGCTTTTAATACTCATATCATTATTTTCATTCATTTATCATTATCATTATATCATTATCATTATCATCATTATTATTGAAATTGTGATCTAAAATCAAGAAAAAGGCCTGATATATTTCCCCAAAAGGAGAGCAAAAATTAAAAGAATTTTGCTCACATTTTGCAGCTCTAAAGTACTGATTTCTCCAGTGAAAATACTGCATCCCTTTCTACCATTTCCCTGCCAGAAGGGTATAAAGCAAAGAGAAGGACTGCACTGGGGTACTGAGGGGAGGGGTAAGTGTTGTTTATATGTTGTGTGTGTGTGTGTACAACACACCACCACACCCCACACACACACACACACACACACACACACATCCATATATACACCCATATACACACATATATATATACCCACAAACGTTTGTGTGTGGGTGTGTACACACAACACAAAAATATGGATGGTAAATAGAGATAGATATCTATTTACAGACACATGGCCACACACATCTATCGATCGATATATATATATATATATATATATATATATATATATATATATATATATATATATATATATATATATATATATATATATATATATATATATATATAATATACAAAATTAAAGTTGATCCCATATCCAAGTGGGCTCAGCGATACGTAGGCCAATTCACTTCCTTCCCCACCTACACACACACACACACACACACACACACACACACACACACACACACACACACACACACACACACACACACACACACACACACACACACACACACACACACCATACATATCTGTCTATATATATACTTTCATATCGTTGGATATTGCTAGGAACTACCTGTGGAAGGCGGGCCACGGAGGCGCAGCAGAAGTGAGATCTCCGACGCCTGCCTGAGACGGAGCAGAAGCAGGAGTGGGCGAGGGTGCGAGCTCCGAATTCCCTCGGCGCGTTCAAGTGGGCGTGAACCTGCGTGGGCGTCTCGACAAAGGGGAGCTTGTCCATTCCTCCTTGACTGATGAGGCGCTCTCGAGGGCTTCTGACGCCTGAGGAAGCAGCAGGGCGGCCTATGTCCACACAAGGGCGGGTGTCAGAGGGTAGTGCGTGTCCATAGGTGTTCCCTGATCCCCCGAAAGTGCGTTCACATATATTGCTTTGTTTATTTCACGCTCTCCTCTGTAATATACTCATTGGTATTTTTTTTTCCACGCCAATACACTCTCTTCCATGATTGTGTTCAATTAACGCGTGAATATAACGATGCTGATGTTATAGATAAAGGTTTAAATGAACTAATTCGATTCTCGTGTCCAAGGCAAGGTCTTGGTTCATTTAAAAACATCTTTTTACACAAATGTTCCTCAAAAAAAAGGAAAATACAGTCCTGCTAATTACTTCCTGGAACTTCGCGGTAGCTATAAAAACATTATTTATCTTTTTTATTTCATGTTTTCAAGTTCATCTAATCTATAAAAACAAGAACGTTTTGATTAAATTCTTTATTATTCGTAGCAATCACTGTACTAGCAGTCAGGAGCAGTCAGTCTCGCCCATAAAATGACCTGAGATATAAAAATAGAAAGATTGCTTAACATACAATACATAAAACGATTACCAGGCAGTAGATTCAACAGCAGTAATTAAGGCTCATACTAATAAATTTACTGCTTGGTAGCTATAATCTCATTACTTGTCTATTTTTTTTATATATAAATTTCATGTTTTCAAGGCAATCTATTCTTATGTGCATTTTCAGGTCATTTCTTGGTCGATTAGACTAATCAAGAGGTTCTTAAGATTTTATAATTACATTAGTTCTGAATTTTAAGAAAAAACAGCACACATTTCATACAATAATGATGTAATAACTTGCTTCGTGGGCATTCCTGCTCGTCCTTGGTGGCTTAGATTTTCGATCTATCTGTTTACTTCGGTTGGTCACGTGCTTGACCTCACTCAAAGGAACGTTTTGGGCTAGTCTCTCTCTCTCTCTCTCTCTCTCTCTCTCTCTCTTCTCTCTCCTCTCTCTCTCTCTCTTCTCTCTCTCTCTCTCTCTCTCTCTCTCTCTCTCTCTCTCTCTTTCTCCTGTCTGCCTGTCTGTGTCTGTCTGTCTGTCTGTCTGTCTCTCTCCTCTGTCTCTCTCTTCTCTCTCTCCTCTCTCTCTCTCTTCTCTCTCTCTCTCTCTCTCTCTGTCTCTGTCTGTCTGCCTGTCTGTCTGTCTGTCTGTCTGTCTGTCTGTCTGTCTCTGTCTCTGTCTCTCTCTCTCTCTCTCTCTCTCTCTCTCTCTCTCTCTCTCTCTCTCTCTCTCTCTCTCTCTCTCTCTCTTCACTTTAACGAATTCAATTTTTTGTTGAATAAGTTTGCTTAGTCCATTATTATCATACTTTATTTTCATCTGTTTGATCTACTTATTTAATAATTGCCATTATCCTAATCATTCCATTATTGTTACTATTATAACTACCACCTGCATCATAATCGCTGATATTATTAACTGTAATATGGTTACTAACATAATAATTGTTATTATCATTACTACAATTTCTACATTCATTATAATTATCGCAACTGTCATTATATGGTGACTATGAGGGTAATAATAGTTATCATAATGATATTATCACCATAGTTATCACATTTATTATCATCATGGTTATCATTATTACTGACATCATAGATATCACTATTATTAGAATCATTATAAGCACTGTTATCATCACCATAGTTATCACTATTATTAGCATCATGAAAATAGTTTTTTTTCATTGTTGCCATTATCAGTATCACAAAAATAGGTTATTAACAATACCATCATAATTATAATTATATTATTACCACCAACGGAATCATCCTTATCAATATGATTATAATTATCATGATTATCACTAATGCCATTCTTACTTACCACCTATTATCACATCCGTTACCAGTATTGCCAATGTCATTATCATTATCGCAGTTAATAATATGGTCATTATTAGTAATACACATTACCATTATTATTATCGTGCTTATTACCTTTAGCAAGATTTTTACATATATCATGTATTACTGTTATTAATACCATAATCATTTATCCATATTACCAATACCACCAACATCATCTTTAGTACCATGATTTCCATAAGCAATCTATCTTGGTGATTATTGCTATGATCAGTACCATGAATTACGTTCTAATTATCCTATCGGTTATCGTCATTGTCATTGTTATTACTTTTCTTTTTGTATCTATTTATTTCCACTATTGTTATTACGTTCACATATTTCTATCGCTAGCAGGCATTCTGTCGTGTTATTCATGATTATCATTTGATAAATGATTCTCTCATTATAGCTGTTGTTATTGATATTATAAGACGACTCAGTAGAATAATTCTTCTAAATCCGTAATTATTTTTAACCAGTAGATAATTAACTACCATATACAGAATAAGTTAAGACCAGAGAGATTTAATAAGAAGATACCACCGTAATTAGTTTAAGGGGACTCCAAAATTACTCCGTAATTTAGTTTAGGACTCCCATAATTATAATTTTCCTAATTCTGCAAAAATTATAAGGACTCCCAAGTAGATACTATACTACACACTCAACTCCAAGTAGATAATTTCTACTGAATTAGTTAAGGGACTTCAGTAGATAATTTTTTCCTACTTTGCAGATTAGTTTAAAGGACTCCAGTAGATAATTTTCTACCCTCCGTAATTCGTCCTTTAAAAAGAGTAGCAGCAGCGTGCCTTCGTGCATACACGGTCAAGGGACTGCTAACCTCCCCATTCCCGACCCTGGGTCAGTTTGACAAGTGGCGAGGGGCGTAGAAACTCCCCTCTGCCTGCCTACGTCACTGCAGTAAGCACTCAGGGAGGCTCGGCAGGTATATAAAACAAGCTGCGCGTCCGGAGAATCAGCTGCGCGAACTGAGC